GATCAAGAAGAAGAAGAAGAAGAAGAAGAAGAAGAAGAAGAAGAAGAAGAAGAAGAAGAAGAAGAAGAAGAAGAAGAAGAAGAAGAAGAAGAAGAAGAAGATGATGATGATGATGATGATGAAAAAGAAGAAGAAGAAGAAGAAGAAGAAGAAGAAGAAGAAGAAGGTGAAGAAGGTGATAAAATAGAAGAAGAAAAGAAGACAAAGCATCATCTTCATCATCATCATCATCATCATCATCATCATCATCATCATCATCATCATCATCATCATCATAATCATCATCATCATCATAAGCAGAACTTTGCAGCACCAACTGCTCAATTAACGCACTACGTCAATTAAAAAATTGGTCGTTCAAACAACAGTCGATCTCATACAACTGTGAATGTTTATTATTACGCACACACATATTATTATGTTGCAGCGTGCCACTTTCTTTCGTTTGCCTCAACAGAAGTTAAATTAACATTTCAAAAAGGCACGTTTGGATTTTGTAAAGCTCTAATGAAGATGAAACTACCAGATAAATTTCAAGGGATCCAAGTCTTTGGCCAAAGAGGTGAAAAGTCGGTTTCAGGGCCATAACTATTTTCTTTTTGGTACTGACTTCAACTTTCGGCAAGAACACAAAAGACCAAATCCATACTTTTGTTAAAAGTTCATTATTTCCATTTGACATAAACGCTGGTTGTATTTGTTCAATATGAATATGATCATTCAATTAATGGGTGACAATCATTGAAGTCTTTTTCGTTTTGGGGATAGCCGCATTCCAGAATCTAAGTGATGACGTTGTTTTGGAAATACTTTAAGAGTCTGAATCTGAGACCATCTTGAAGAGAAAGCCATCGGTACATAGCCGACAAGCTGTTCAACTCTTCTAAGTCAAGAAAACATTTTTTTAATCATGCGAATGAATAAAACTGTTTCATCTTTTTTAACATATTGCTACATTATATACATTTTCTTTCTCTTTTCAGCATCAAGATTTTGAACCTCAAAATTTTCTCGAGCACATGAAACGGATATGACAGATTAAGAACTTGCAAAAAGAAAAAAAAATCAAAACTTTGAGTTAAGTACTTCTGAAAAGCTGTTCAACAATATAGAAACACCGCTATGTATAAGCTTTAAACAGATTTATTATGGCTTTCAGAATATGAAGTGAAGCTATTTGTTGTGTATAACATGGTTGCTTTCTGTTGCCCGCTGCTACTTCTAGTGCTTTTGATTTTATTTCCAGGGCTTGCATTAGCGGTGGAGCATTGCTGTTGAAAGTGGTTATGTTAGCTGAGTAAAGGTGGGCTATCCCTGCAACAATAGTTGGTGTCAGAGAAATGTGTGTTTGTGTGTTTGTTTGTTTGTCTTTGCGTGTCTGTGTGTGTCTGTTTGTTTGCGTGTGTCTGTTTGTTTGTGTGTTTATGTGTAAGTGTGTGCGTGTGTGTATGTGTGTGTGTGTGTGTGTGTGTGTGTGTGTGTGTGTGTGTTTGTGTGTTTGTGTGCGTGTCTGTATGTTTTTCGAGGAGGGTGAGGGGATTTGATAGGGTATAAGTGCATGCGCCTGGAGTGAAGATTGAGAGAGAACGAGGAAAATGGAGGAGTAGGGATAATGAGAAAATCGTAGAGTGAAGAACAGGGAGAATACATTTTGTGAGAAAGTGTAAGTAATGTGGGGAATCAAGCACCGAAAGTTTATCTTTCGTCTTTGTGTGAGAAAGAGAGGGGTAGACAGAGACTAAGTAGGAAGGTAAAAGGGAAGGGAAGACGCGGGAAAGGGGGGGGGGCAGACCGAGAAAGGACAGACAGACAGACAGACAGACAGACAGACAGACAGACAGACAGACAGACAGACAGACAGAAAAGAAAGCAGATAGACAGACAGACAGACAGAGAGTTGCATGTAGATGTTGAGATATGGGGAATGGGAGGGGACTATTTTCTGTGTGAATGTGAGTGTGTGTCTGTGAGTGTGTGCGTGCGAGTATGTGGGAGTGTGTGCGTGTGTGTGTGTGTGTGTGTGTGTGTGTGTGTATGTGTGTGTGTGTGTGTGTGTGTGTGTGTGTGTGTGTGTGTGTGTGCGTGTTTGAGAGTGTGTGCATTCGTATCGAAAAGGAATTTGATTTATGGGTGCATCTGTGTATAAGGTGATGATAATGGTGCGGTATATTGTATCAGTACGGATGCTTTTAACCCCACCCCCAACAAAAAAATGACACATTAAGCATAATTTAGGAGACGGGCTTTGTCTATCCCCACCAGGGCCAAACTGGGGTGAGAGAGATACAACGTTCCAGCAGAAAGACCTAGATATCTAGATACTCGATAAAAATTCTCTAATCACGAGAATTAAACTCAGATTTCCTGCGTGCGACTGCGAAACTTCCAACAGCTTCACCATAGTTGTCGATAAGGATTGGTTGATACTCAATACAAGTGGGTTGATGAGAATTGAAAGCAAGTTCTGGAAACGAGGGAGAAAGAGTTACGTTTCTCTGGGAGCTGGTGGACCTCTGAGTGTTGACAGATTAATAGAAGGCAAACTGTAGAAGATATGCAGGGCAGAGCGGCGTACAGTCGTTGTGGCTTCCAAGGAAAGGAAATTATTTGGGGGTAGCGTAGAGTACTGGCAGTCACCCAACACCCATGAAGAACAAGAAGTCCATTGACTTTTGTGTTTTGTGTTCTGTTTGTAATGATTCCTAGTTTGATTTTTTTTAAATTTGTATCTGCTCTACATCATTTTGTTATGGGACAGGGTGTAGAATGGGGTGGGGTGGTGGGAGGGGGGTCCTTTTTATGTATGTTTATGTTGGCCGCAACTCAAAGAAGCGAACTTTCCACTGAGTAAGGTTTTCCGTGATTCACGTTTCATCATTTGGAGACAGGCTGGCCTCTGTGGCGTAGTGGTTGAGCTTCACCTTGTTGCACACAGAAGACGAGAGTTCAAATCCAGTGTGTGAACATTTTATTATTGTAATCTTTGTCTGTCTGCTAGGATGCCGTATCCAATTACGCTCCAGCTGGCCATGACCACCAAGGTAAAAAAAGACAATAAGGCGGAAAGTGTGTCAAAGACAGTAATAAAAAAAATGATTACCATGAACGTTTTTTCGAGAAAATTTGAAGGACATTCTGGTTACCGAATGGTCTTGACAGAGCAAAATCTATGTACAGACAAAGCTCAAGACTTCTTCAAGTTTCATCGGGACTGAGTATTACATGACATGTGTGTAAACTGAAAAAGTGGGAGCTGTAAAACAATACCTAAGTGGCATTGCTCCCATCGAATTTCAGCGACGGTTTGGGCAAATGTTCTACAAGGCTTCTAGCGAGAACGAAGAGGTCACAATGTTAGATTTTCTCCAGAAAAACTACGCTCCCATCATAGTGAAAGCAAGGTCAATACCAAGATGTGTTACAAAGAAAACGACAGAAAAGAAAATATTGATAAGCTTTTGTCTCTAATGCCTCTGCCCATGCGCAATATCAACATTCTGCTTCAAAG